ACCTGAAGAAACGAAAGCTGGATTTTTGGACCCATGCAAGAATCCCCATGGTCCATTTCAGCACTATCTCTTCCAACACGAGCCCTTCCTGCCCTCCTCTTTGCTTTACTCCAGACTCATTTTTGAGACATCTGCAGCCATAGCATCTCCAGGGCTTTGGCTGCAGCTCCAAGGACAAGATTTCCCCTTTGTTTGGGGTCTGCATGGACCCCGGGGGAGTCAGGAATGGAGGTGGCACTGCCACGCAGCAAGGGACACTGATGGCACACCTACGCCGATGGCAACACCTACGCTGATCTCCTCTGGCTCAGCTCTGGGGGACTAGCAATGCCGTCAGTAACTGCTGGCCAAGTGGTACAAGCATGGGTCTTTAACCCTCTCTGCAGCAGTCTGGGGAGCCGTCTACATAGCCAAATTTTCTGCTACAAACTGTGCCTTCAGTGGCTTTCAAAACCTAGCCTGCTCACCATCCTCTGACTGACTTTGAATGCTCAGTCTCAGTTCCCTGTCTCCTGCACTTTCGGTATTGCCACTGCATCACAAATCACTGGCAATGGATAAAACAATCTCTTACTAAAGCTTCTTTTTTTTTTTCAAACCTCCCCTGGAAGCTTTATTACAGATTAGATTTGATGAATTTCTGTCAGATGCAGTGCGCCATTCCTCTCGCCTGACAATACCTGCAACAGCTTTTGGGGAATCTGCTCAGTTGCCTTCTGCACACCTACTTTTTTTTTTTTTTTCCTTGCTGTAAGAATTGTTATAGAACCTTTTAATTAAAACTTTCTATCAAAATTGCATTAACTTTTTCTCTGTGTAGGAAAAGTAGCCCACAGTGATCTACTAAAGAGTAGATGGTTTCAAAACAAACCCTTACGAAGTCTTGAAGGCTATTTAATTAGGGCAAGCTGAGCAATTTAACTGAAAAAAATGGATTTATAAAAAAAGCAAAACAATTTACAGACAACATTTAGTTTCCTAAAAACTAACGATAATCTGTTTTCATATGAAATACTGGAATGTTTTCATTAAAAAAAAAAAATCCATTTTCCATTTACCAAAATTCTAGACACTTTGAGGATTATTTTTAAAAAAGAATCTTTCCCCCAAAGGAAGAGGTAAAGGGAAGAGTTAGCAAAGAGACAAAATGCATGGTGAAAAACTTTGGCAGGAAATTTTATTTCTGCTAAATTCAGGTAGCAGTGAAGACTACACTTTTGGTTAGTCGCTCTTCTTAAAGCGAGGTGTTTGCTGGCACGTTATTTTGAAAACCAGCACAGTAGGATGACTTCTTTAATAAGTGGGCATAAACCCCAGAGATTAGAAAGTCTCGGTGAGAGACAAAACCCCCATGCGATATTGGATTTCTTTGCCAAAGCAAGGAAGGTTTTTAATAAAGGTCACGGAGAAATAATTTCCAAAGACGGCAGCGTGTCTTTCCCCCTATATGTTTACTCTTTTATTTCACTCCTTTAGAGTGAAAGGCAGACCTTAACACGCGCGCGCGCACACACATGCACACACAAAAGGAAACAACAACCAAAGACGGGGGGGAAAAAAAAAAAAAAAACAAAAAAAAAAGCACCAGAAAATCCCCCTCTGCCCGTCCTTTCGGCTGGGGCTGGGTGCCTGCGGAGCCCACGCAGGCAGAGATGGGCATTTGCCTGTGCAAACACAGAGATTGTATTTAAAACAACTCGAGGTGGACATTTGCAGCAATAGCCAAAGATCAAAAAAATTAAAAAAAAAAAAAAAAAAAAAAAAAAGAGCCTGAAATTTTAGTTACACCACATGTGGTTTTCATTTGTGAAAAATGAACAAGCTGTTTGTGGTTAAACTGTCTAATCTGCTGTTATCAATCTAGCGCTGCATTCAAGATTTACAGGATACATCAGCTTCTGTGCCACATTAGCTGTAAAAGGGAGAGGGGGTGGGAGGAAAAAGGAGGAGGAGAGAGTTTATCCTGAGGAATAATATTTCCAATGCAGCCACACTCACACTACATCTGGTTGTGCTGGTAGCGGCAGTTAAATTGAAATATTTCACAGCGTGTGTCAGAAACATGCAGAATGGTAATTATGACAGATCTGATTAAGCCTGAGTGCCACTAGCTCCCTGGCCAGCTCCGGTTGTGCAGGTGTGACCTTGTGCGTGCCTGCGTGTGTAAATAAAATTAATTACAAGCGAGAGGGCGAAGGCTTCGGTGACATCACAAAGCGGAGAAACTCCCAAGGGGGAGACCTAATGGAATATTTTCCCTCAGTCTAATAATACAGTTCATATTGACTTGAGGTAATTAGTGGGATCATTAAAGCAGTTTTCCCGGCGTATTTGGCTGCCTGATCAGATTAGTGAAAATGTTCTTCAGAACAAGCCCTGTGTGGTCTGCCAGAGAAGGAGGAAATAAAAAGCAACAAAGCATATTTTGGAATGATAAGCAGCGCTGGACTTTTTGCCCGGCATTTTGCAGGGCCGGTCTCGGGAGCCTGGGCGCCTGACTCTCCCGACCGATTCAAGCTTTCATCCCAGGCGCACGTGCTCCCGCTGCGCGTCATCTAAGACTTTTTAATTTTTGTTCCTCTATCCTTCAAAACTATGCTGTCCCTATCCCTCGCTGCTTAAAAAAACCACAGATAAAAGCCTCGTGGAAGTGCTAGCCTTAGAAGAGCTACATGAAGATAACTGGGGGAAGGAAGAAGAATAAATATGTGATCGGGAACCCCCCCACCTCTCCCCAAAAAGCTAACAGAAGACTGAAGGCACCAGTTTGAGAATTAGTAAGGTTTTCATTTCCTAACAAGCCTACCCCAGCAAAAAAAGGAAAAAAAAAAAAAAAAAGAAAAAAAGTTTAACTATGATATAAAGTCTTCCACGGTAACAGAACACAGAGCCCTAATCAAGAAATGGACCATTTGTTTAAAAACAGTCTATTGAGCATGCTCTACCTTGCAAATGGAATATGCCAAGCTCTGTCACAGATGGCAAGCTTTGACAGTTCCCATCCGTAGCGTCGATACTCGACAGTTCAGCACAAGATCAGTGACATTCTGTCTCATTAGAGCCACGCTAATTATCACAGCTAGTTTCAGGGGAAACCATGTGTTGCAATGGTCAATTTGAAGGAGTCTGTGCATCAACAAACTGGTAATAAGGATCAGACACCTTATTATATGACAGCATGCTGCCTATGATCTGATTTACTGAATCAGAGGTACTGAGGCAACACTGAAGCCTGATGGGTTATGGAATCGCGTGTACACAATGCGTATCTGAAATATGCTTTAAAAATAAAAGGGAGCTATATAGAAACAATACAAATAAAAATTTTAAAATAGTGAAGTTATAATGAGGGCCTTTTTCATTTGTCTTTAAGACATGCAGAGATGTTCAAGATCTTGTCAGCCAGTTTTATCTTTAATCAAATCATATAAGATAAATAATTCAAAATGAAAACTGTAAAATTATGGATCATGCTAAATTATAATTCATTCCATACTCTGATTTTTCAGTTTCAATAACATGTACCAAACATTCCTTATGTTGCGCCGTCTTGCTGCTTTAACAGAATTTTGTATTTTGTAAAGAGCTTTCTCTACTTGGCTCTCTTTTTTTCATTTCTACATTTAATGACTTAAACTTGTACTTCTCCTAGCTTCTCCCACACATTCGCGCTCCTTCCACCAGACAAAAACCATCTAACCCAGAACCCCCCTTTGCTGTTTCTGGCCACCTGCGGGGCCGCATCCTGCCAGGGTGCTCAGCAGTCCCAGCCCCAGCGCCTCCCCGGGGCGCGCTGCCGGCTGTGGCCGTGAAGGCGTTAAGCATTAACTCCCCACCAACGTAGGGCAGGTGTGCACTGCATCCCTCCAGGGAAGCTCTCCTTAGGGCTCAAATAGATCAGCATTTCCCAAAGCGGCTACCAGTTCTTTATGCAGATCGTAAGCGGCGTTTGAACAGCTCGGCTGGCTGGGAACCTCTAGCCGGGGCCGGTTTGACCCCACGTGTAAAGCACGCTCAGGAAGCACACTTCTTCATCGGTGTGTCAACAAATCCAGCTTTTGCCTTACGTGCTGAAAGGGCTGCCTGGCCCCAAGGAGCTGTCTGAAGAGGCCAATATAAACCTCTTACCTGTGAAGTATTTTCCATTCTGTACCTCTTTCTTTGGCTTGAACTATTTCAGGTTTTAATGCTTTTTCTTCCCTCTATGCAGATTTCCATGGGCAATTGCACACCGATATGAACCACCTCGGAGGTTTTAAGGCGGTTTCTCTTCAGTGCATCTTTGTTGATTCAAGAAGTCGCTGTCTACTTTTTACTAGCGGGAACCCGAGTCTCACTGAAGCCAACCCACTCCACCAAGGTCACACCAATAATGCAGGATACGGCCAGGATCAATGCCGGCCCTTCTCCAGGTCTACCCAGATCGAGTGATAAGCGAGCTAACTGAACTCAATTTTTCTACCCCCTTTCTGAAAAAGAATTTAAAAAAAAATCCCTAAGAAAATTTCCTGAGACTTTAACCTTTATTTCTGCGAAGAGATGTCGTAAAATAAATTAAGACACGGGGCAGAGGAAGAACCTGGAGTGCTCTAAGCCTTCATTTTGCTCCTGCAATAGGCACCCGAAAATCTCCTTCCCTCCGACCCCGGCGAGACAGAACACACTATGACTCTGCAACACGGTATTTTGTGAAAGAAACAAATCAGCTCTATCTGCCAAGTTTCACAGTTTCACTGAATGACACGCCGCTTTATGGGGCAATTCTTGATCACGCACAGAAGCCCATCTTGCTTTCTCAGTTCACACTCTTCCTCTCCCGTCCCTGCTGACACCCGATCCCGTCCCACTCCTGCTGCTCATGGCACCTCTTCAACTGCCAGAGCAATCACCCCCGGGTAGCGGAGGGGGGGGAGGAAAATAGATTAACAAAAAAATAAAATAAAAAAAAATAAAAATAGAGGCCGTTGCGTGGTGTACTTCTACTGTTAATGTTTTCCAACGACTGTATCTCGCCTTTCCATGAGGGCGAGGGGTTTATTTCCAGGTGGACCCATGAAACGACGGCAGACCTCAGAGCACGTTTTGTTTCCACCTCGCGTCTCCCGGTGCAGTATCCCTCCCCGCTCCACAGAGAATCCATTGTACGCTGAGGGGTGGGGGGGGAAAGATGGTTTTTAAGCCAAGATTTAAACCCAGGAAGTGACTCAGCTGCTCTGAGGGAGACAAAGGCGGGAGACGACGGAGGAGTGGGGTGACGGGAGAAGGACCGAGTCCCCTCCTGCCCCCCAGCCTGGACCCCGCCGGGGCAGCCCGAAGTGCAGCGCCCCGAGGAAACAGCTTTGGAAATAAATTTCAAGACCCCTCTCTTAAAGCCACATTGTTACCAGAGGGTTACTCTTGGTGATAAAAAGGTTTCTTTTCCCCCCGCTGGAAAATAGTTGAATAGATCGTTCTATATCTGCGGTAATGGCATGTTACATCTTCGTGCCAGATCCACAATACCGTGCTTGTTCAGTGTGGGAAGCTGTTTAAAAATGACTTTCCTATTAGAGTATATAGCTTAGTCTCGAGATGGAAAAAGCCAGATCAAAGATATAGCATTTATAAAACTGCTGGTTAAAAAGATAAAAGTGAGATAACAGACATCAATTTTTCACTATAAATCTCTGGGTTTACTACAACATTAAAATTTCCAGTAAAAGCAGGGTTTTATATACCTGAACTCTAATGGCCTATTCTGAAAATATTTATGTCAGGAAAAGCATGGTATTTGCATGCCAAAAGCAATTTTAGTGCCAATGTTCAGCATTCCCTTCCCATTTAACTCCTTCCCATCTACTCCCAAGAGTTAGATGCTCTGCCTAATGCCTACCCGGTGCGCTTCCCCATGCAGCCTTTCGGAGGAGGATGCTCCAGGCGCCTACCAAGGCAAAAAGACCAACACTTAAATAAATACATAAAATACCACTGCGCAAAATGCTCGCCTGATGGCTTAGGATGGAGTCTCTAGCAGTGGTCGGAACCACTGATTTTACCTCCATGCTTTGCATGAGAAACTAGTCATTTCCAAGGGGCTAACTGCCTAACCAAAGTGAAAGACGGGGACAGGAGGACAGGAAATTGGGCAAGACGGTGCAACAGCTCAGAAGTTAACGGGTCAAAACTCTCCATAATTAGATGACGTTTCTGGAGGTATCGGTAGCACTCCATTAGTTTTAAACTAAAATTAATATGGGAGCACGATTCTGTGAGAGCCAAGTGTCTCGCCCTCAACTTACAGGCATTTTGATTTGGTGAGAAAGGGCCCTCCTTGGGCCAGGTAGTTGGGCACCTACCTGGCCATGCACAGCAACTGGCAGGGTTGACGCTGCAGAAAAGTACGGATTTTACCTATTTATTCCGCTATAAAGTAAACCTATTTAGGTATAATAACGCAGGCTAATGACCTTACACTGTAGCACGTGGGACTCAGAGGTATGGAAGCTGATATTACTTCAGTTTTTGCAAGCTGTAATTCCCTAAATTTAAGAAAGCTTTAGCAACGTAAGCTGATTTTCAGCAAAGTTTTGCTTTCTTCCATACTTCATACCAGCATGTGCAGGCCGCAGCTTTTCAGGATAAGCCATTAACATAAATGTAACTTCTCAAAATACAGCAAACGTACAGGAGCACTACAAGTCTCTACTTGACTTATCTCTCAGGGCTCTTAGGTTTGGGGTTTTTTTGTTTGTTTGTTTGTTTGTTTATATGGAATAAAATTAGATTTCAGCATCTGTCACTATCAAGAAAAAAACTCCTCCCTTGCTCCCACATGAAAACATTGTAACCAATGCACAGTTACTGAACCATGATGCCTTAATGATCATTACACAAATGAACTTTTTTTTTGTTTGAAATAACGAAATCAAGAATGTGCTTTCATAATTACTTGAATAAGATTGTCAGGTTATAAATCTAATAAAACCTCAATATGATTAAATTGTAAAAGTAACGCATACCACACAGATTTATGTATGTGTGGATTCTTTTAATTCTGCCTTATTCAAGTATGCTGATTAAATTTTAGTAAACAATATTGTTAGTATTGCCATTCTACCACTAAAAACCAACAATCTGGGAGCAGACACAAAGCACTAGGTAAACCTTTCTGTCTTCCATTCACCGGTATTTTTCTACAGCTCTCTTTTCAACATAACCTAACAAAAAAAATACGTACACCTATTAGGCAGACAACCTGCAATGAAAATGTAAGATTTTAAATACTGACATTAGGTGTTTTGCCAGTTACAATTCTAAAACTCCCTAAAGATATGATGTATTCAAGCTGTTTGAATTATACTATCTTCCTCAGCTCCTCAGTATAACCATAGTAACTTTTAAAGTATACATTTTGAATTTAACAGAATTTGAATTTATTTTGCAGACAATACATCAATCCTTAAAAACATAGAAAATTTAAAAATATACAGAATGCATACGTCCCTATACAGGAAAATAATTCAACATTTGAAGGAATCTTCTAGCTAAGTCCCCAAACTCATCCCCAAACATGTGCCAGATAGTGCCTTTTTCTGGGAAAGCCAAGAAGCCGCCAGCGAAGCACACCGTGAAACCACAAGTACACAAATCATCACTCACCTAAGCCAGAGCACGGTCTCCCTAATGTCACTGCCATCTCTTCTTGCTCCCGTCACCCCTTCCTCACCCTGTGCTATGACCTCTGCTGCACCGAGCCTTGTAGACAACTTTGTTTGTTTGAGCATCAGGTCCACATGCGATCCTCTGTCAATCAGATAACTCTTGCCAAAGGCGCTAACACAGCGCTTTTTGCCTTGGCACTACCTAAATAGAAGCTTCTGTAGTGCATCATTTAATAGCTCTTCTGTACAAGGTGCTCTCGTCGGCAGAACATTATCTGCAGTCTCCTGGCTCAGCCAAGCCCAGCCACCTTGTAGATGCTGGCTGCTTCGACACCCAATCTAAAGCTGACCCAAATCAGTTCCTTAAAAAAAAAAAAAAAAATAGAAAGGCCCTCCAGCAAACAACTATCTTTGTCCACTGGCCGAGCTGCTTTAGGTCACGTACTGGTTTGTACCGTAACTCCAGACTACACTGAGCAGTTAATCAAGTTTTTATATCCAAAATAAGATAAGACCAGCAATGTTCAACTTTTGTGATGTTTAAAAACAAAACTGTTAACCAATGCATTATTTTCTAATATATGTCCTCCAGACTCTTCATTATAACTGGAAGTGATTTCTCCAGGATTTCCAGTTGTGAGCGGGAAACCAACATCCCCAAACGAGAAAAAAAACCAAACAGACCTCTCTCAAGAGAGGTTCCTTTAAAGAATTTGTCTTAACTAGCCTCTTTTTTTGTGCAAGAGAGACTTCTTTGCCCCAAGAAATAATTATCTGTACCACTGACAAGCTCTAATGCAGAATTTTTACAAGACAGATAACTCCTTTAATATACTTGGCTTTGCTACACATTTAAAATTAACTGATTGACTGACTAGTAGTCAACTGGTTAGAGAAGACCCAACATATTCAGTTTACCTAAGAGTTCACTTTTGTGATGCACCTTTCTACAAGGAATGGCGCTTTGGCTAACTACAGACATGAAAGCTTGCTTAACACATAAATTAACATTACATTGCTTAAATCCAGGAGAAAAATAACCTCTGAGAATACAGACATAATCTCCATAATAAAAGAGAAAAGAACTATGTGTTTGGTGGTGTTTGCTTTCTACACTTGGTAGCAAAGTTTGTACAAGAACCAAAATTTTATACCAACATTCTAAAAAACCTGCCCCACGTCCTCTGAAGCTTTTTTCCTTCACTTTGATTACCTGTCCCTTTTAAAGTCAGCATTGGAAGAGCTGTCCCGCCTAGGAATTTTAAAACTACACACTTAAATAAATACACTGTCACACAAACCAGATCAGACCAAAATCATGTGGACCGATAGATTGGCTTCATACCTTAGTTTTGCAGAGAACTGCAATGGAAAGAGGAAGGTGCAGAAAACGGACAGTTCTCTAACCCAGAGTCTTGACATGTAAATAAAGACATCTGAAGAGCACACAGGTTGGAAGCTGCTGTAACATTCTATCATAATTAGAAACATTTCAAGAGCCCTGTAATTTCCAATCAAAATTACAGTAATTTCCGATATACAAGCCATGATTCATGACAGAATTTTTACATTCCATGGGAGATTATAGTGGCCTGATGTATGACACAGAGTACAGCACTAACATAAACAATTCAGTTTAATGTTTAAACAGCACTTGGTGTTTAGAATCCAACAATAAAAGAAACATATTATTGTAGAAATTATCACTTTGACAGTGATTGAAGGGTAGGCAGGCATGTGGCCTATAAAGCTATAATTTTTACAGTCCACAGCTTGAGTTTAATCATTTTGATATAACATTTCCAAAATATCCCTTTAAATGCTCCTTATAGCATATAACTTAAGAGACAACATCCTTTCTGTACAATGAAATGGAGTAAACTCCAACACATGAACAACACAGAAGTCAAAAGTTAAAGACTGTTAAAAAGAAAACCAGCACTAAAATGCTGACGGCCCAAGAAACATTGGTCTAACTGATCATTATCAGCTTTCCCAGGAAGATGCTGTATTTTTCTATGAAGCAATTTTAGAAAAGTAAAGGAGTAGTGACTAAGTGGACTTAACATTTAATCTAACGTGAAAATTCAACATTGCAAGCATTGGTGCCTTTACCATTTCTTTCAAGCGTTGGTATAACCATGGTTCTAGTCTTTCCCATTTTTCTATGTTTTTCCTTTACTTCCTGAGTACATTCTCACTTAAATCAGTGCCTTTGCATGCTCACGCCCAGCAAGCGCATGCTGATTTCCCTCTCTTGCTGCTAAACTTGACAGAATTTCTTCAGTTGAAGAAAATAGAATAGGAAACCACACAACAAAGCCTTAAGAACTGAATACACAATATATATGTATGCATACGCGCAGGTAACCAAGCAGCCATCGTATTCCACAAAGATCATACATGTATTCACAGATGTAACTCATATAACCCGAACTTGTTGGGTCTGGTTTTTTGTTTTTGACATGGATAGTGCTGCCCCACCTCCCATGCACAGCCTCACCAGTGGGCTTGACTAAATATTTTCGCAAAAGCCAGAACCCCAGCGTTCCTTGTTACAGCGCATGTAATTGCAAGCCAACAAAGCCTCAAGATGAATCCGGCAGCAATACACAGAGCTGGCCCACAGCTTTTGCCACATCCACGCCAGCTAAGAACTGATGAACCTGATGCTTTCTGAGCCACGCAAGACCCAGGGGCGTGCAGCGAAGGCATCTTGCTGGCAGGGAAGAGGGAGGGATGCGTCTCAGGAAGCCACTTCTCAACCCTGCCTGGCCAAGGGTAACCACCTCTGGACCCAGCAAGGAGCTCCAGGTTGTGGTACCAGGCTGGTGTGCTAACCCGGCCGCTCGTTGTAACTCACACAGAAACAGATCAAAACCAGGGGTGGGGGGGAATAATCACACAGGACAGGGAGGCCATTGCACCCCGGGAACTTTACCTGGCTTTTGGTTG